CATCCTGCCACTACGTTTGGTGGCCACAAAAATCCCCTCGCGCCATTGCATAGATAGAGCCTCTCAAGCCACTTGGCAGCTAGCAGGGCCTCACCTGTCACCAAACAAAGGATTAATTGTTTCGCCTTGCGGCTTTAGCTAGCAAGCCAGTACTAGCACACTGTGGGTTCATATAATAATGGCTATCTTCATGTTTTTAGTATGTATCAAGCAGGTGGTAAGGATTTATCTCTACCTAACACTCCAGCTAGAGTCAACACACTTTCACTTGGAGATGTTGCTAGTCCCACAGGACAATTTTGTCCCAACACAGCGGACGATCACGTTTCAGGCTCCAGGCTCTAGCACCTCTGGTAGTACATAGAGAACTACCAGAGACAAATTGGGTCATCTCATTCTCTTTGGCAAATCCCAGATTTGCTACAATTTCCAAGTTGGCACATGTAGTTTCAGTGCATGCAGACTGTTGCAGATATGTTCCCAATGTGTCAGGGCACATGCAAAACCATGTGTCCCAATAAATGTACCCTGAACCTTACTTCACGTCTGTAAACATTATGCATTTCCAGTACTTTCTAACTCATCACCCTTCCAGACATTTAGTTTATTTCCTAATATCCGATTTTAAAGGCCTTCTGTTCAGGTATTGCCATATACTTTTGGGGAAATCTAGAATGCCCTAACTTGCAGTCATCACAGCAGCATCCAACAGCTGGCATTACACTCATGGCCCAAGAAATGGCAGAAAGATTTCTACCTGGGCCTCTCCGATGTACACCATTTACAGTGTGGCGCAATCCCATTGGGATTGTCACAGGAAATCTTCCCTCACACTGTAACTGATCATAGACTTATCTGCACCTCACGCCTTGGCTACCCCCATAGTCCCTCATACCCTCCGAGGAGTTTTCATTACAGTATGCCACCATTGTTCATACCATGACAACTATCACTCAAGCAGGGAGGGGAAGCCTGGTTAAGTAAAAACTGATATCACAAACGCATTTCAGACTGCCACCATCCACCCTGCACTGGCACTTACAGGGCATTTATGGGCAGCAGTTATATATTTCTTCTCCTGCTTAACTTTCGGGTCAAGAGCAGCCCACAATCTTCAATATATTTGTTGAACTCTTTACTGGTTGTGGTTAAACATATCCAGATGCCCCACAGTCATACACTCCCGAGATGATTTCTTGTTGGTCAAAGGGAATGCCTTTCCCTCTAGAAGCTTCAAGGAAGCCATTAGTATGTCTGAACACTTGGGTGTCCCAGTATTCCATAAGGTCACAGAAGACCCAGACACTACCGTTACATTCCTGGGCATACAACTTGACTCGGCATCCATGCCAACAAGTTACCACGTGAGAAATAGGAACAGTCGCAACAACACCAATTACCACCTCCTGCTTGGTACTTGCAACCACATGGAACTACAATCCCTACCAGGTTCCTTAAATTTTGCCATGCGCATCATACCGCAGGCCGCGCTTTCATCTCAGACCACTTTGCTTTTTCCTCCCTCCCGAATGATGATCAGGGGCTGTCCCTAGACAACCAAGCCATGGCAGACCTTTCTTAACCACACGTAATGGCAAACTATTGTGGCAGCTGCCGTGACAGCCGCCATGGCAGGGGGGTCATTTATGGTCAAGGTCATGGATTACATGAACCTCGCCAACATAGCCGGGCTATGACTAAACTGGCCTTGTCCACCAGCACTCAACACGCTTGTTACAGGGTTTTCCACTTATACAATATGTTTCATGTCGGACTATCACTTAGATAGCTGGTTTGAGGTTTCACCACGTATGGCCTTCGCCTATTTTTGCCACCTTAAATTAATAATTCTCGCACAACACGGTTAAACTTTATCTCACGGGCATTCAACACTATACGTATTTCTCTTTCCCAAACAACAAGGGTTCCTATCCTCCTACCCCATCCATACCTTACTTAGAGACATGGCCAAGCGGACGTTCCTGCAAACACTAAATACTGGCCATAGACATACAATTTTCAAACCATGTCAGAACCACTCGACCATGCACTTCCGAGCCACACACCAATGCAGTTATCAAAACTGCTACCTATCTAGCCTTTAATGGCTTTCTCAGGCCAAAACAATAAATCACTATCAGCAGCCAACATCATAAACAAGAGTGCCTGTTGACCTCTTATCTTCTAAAACACACAGACCACTATGTCCGGTCCCTTCCTAAAACTAAGATGAGTCAGAGGGCAGAGCCAGTGCATATAACCTACTACCTTACAAGCAATGCTGGGTGCCCGGTTAAGGTACTGATTACGTTCTTGGGCACGCCACCATACACACCACTGAACCATTACTGTCGCTGTACGATACTGTCCTTACCACAGTTCATGCACTATGTCCACCTACTCATTCACCGGGCTCGAACTAAACCCTAGCGACTACTTTAGGATAGGAGCAGCTTACACAGCCTATAGCCAAGACATACCCGCACACGTTAAGACACGGGGCCGTTGGGAATCATAGGCTTATGCGATTTACATACCACAGCCGATTCAGGAATTAGGAAGCTTTCATTAAAATGTCTAACTGATGGTTAACAAATGCACTACGATCCTGTATAATGTTTTGCATTAATATGTCTCTTTTTGCCCACTTTTTACCGGCCTACAGCATACGTCGGTTTCGGCACACCTCAACCGATTATTCCTAAAGCTACATCTCTACAACCCATCTTATTCTATATCACATGAGAATGCCCCGAACACAAATTGGAAGGCATGGCCTGAAGTTGTGGGAGGGGCTATAGACCTATAAAAGGGACTCCCCCCTTTCCCTACTTACCTTTGTTGGTCAGATGAATAGCCCCACCCTCCACTCCCATTGTTCATATTTCCTCTATGTAGGCCCACTTTTTACCGGCCTACAGCATACGTCGGTTTCGGCACACCTCAACCGATTATTCCTAAAGCTACATCTCTACAACCCATCTTATTCTATATCACATGAGAATGCCCCGAACACAAATATTATATATATATGATCTAAGTATATATATACACATACACACACACACACACACACATTTACACATACACGAAGTGTATTTAAATATTAATATATATAATTATTTATATATATATATATTACTATCAAATTACACGTAGACTAATACTGATTAAATATATATATATATATAATTATTGTTATATATATATATATATATATATATATTTATATATAATATAAAAAAATGTAAATACGTAAAAAAAATAAAATTAAAAAAATAATTAAAAATAAATAATAAAAAAATATATAGATGTTTATTTCGTTCTAACTGTATTGTGATATTAATATATATATATTTATATCAAAATACACGTAGAACGAAATAATATATATATCTATATACATAAATATATACATATATATCACTAAATATATACACCTATATATAAATAAAAATATTTTAAAAAATTATATATATATATATATGTATATATACACATATGTATATATATACATATATTAATTCTACACATATATTTATGTAATATTTTTACATAATTAGGTATCCTAATTAATTACAATTAGCGGACCTGCCTGACAACCCATGCCGAAAGTATAGGGAATTTAATTTGCTAGCACTATATTTAACCCTATAACTTTCCAAGACACCATAAAACCTGTAAATTAGGGGTACTGTTTTACTCGGGAGACTTCGCTGAACACAAATATTAGTGTTTCAAAACAGTAAAATGTATTACAACAATGATATCGCCAGTAAAAGTGAAGTTTTTTGCATTTTTCACGCACAAACAGCACTTACACGGACGATATTATTGCTGCGATACTTTTTACTGTTTTCAAACACAAATATTTGTGTTCAGCAAAGTCTCCCGAGTACAACCGTACCCCTCATGTACAGGTTTTATGGTGTTTTCAAAAGTTACAGCATCAAATATAAGGTTTGTGTTTCATTTTTTTCACATTAAAATTCGCCAGATTGGTTACGTTGCCTTTGAGACCCTATGGTAGCTCAAGAATGAAAATTACCCCTATGATGGCATACCATTTGCAATAGTAGACAACCCAAGGTATTGCAAACAGGGTATGTCCAGTCTTTTTTAGTAGCCACTTAGTCACAAACACTGGCCAAAATTGGCGTTTTTTTGCATTTTTCACACAAACAGATACTAACGCTAACTTTGGCCAGTGCTTGTGACCAAATGGCTACTAAAAAAGACTGGACATACCCCATTTGCAATACCTTGGGTTGTCTACTATTGCAAATGGTATGCCATTAAGGGTGTAAATTTAATTCCCGGCTACTATAAAGTCCCAAAGGCAGCGTAACCAATCTGGCGAATTTCAATTTCAAATGTAACGTGCTATATTTGACCCTGTAACTTCCCAAAACGCCATAAAACCTGTACATAGGGGGTACTGTTTTACACGTGAGACTTTGCTGAATACAAATATGTGTATTTTATTGCAGTAAAAGCAAATAGTATTATGACATTGACAGTTAAAATGTCATGTAGAACTAAAAAAATCAAACAAAATCTTATTTTCTCCCATTTTTTTCATATTAAATTATGTTTCATAGCTAAATATTTGATATTAAATGAAAGCCCTGTTTCCCCTGAATAAAATGATATATAATAAGGGTGGGTGCATTTACTATGAAAGAGGTGTATTACGGTTGGACAGACATGTAGCGCAAATGCCAGGTTTTGTTTACATTTTGTTTCGTTCACACTGTGTACAT